CTTTTAATAGGTAATCAGATATCATAGAGGAGCCATGAATGGCGGATGTTGGAGAAGGTCAGGGGTTTTTTTTTTGTGTCGCTGCAAAAAATCTGACCGGAAATTGGCCTACCAAGGGTGATTCAGCTTCCACAATGCACTCAACTTGGACAAGTCACTTATCTCAATATGTTGAAGAACGTAGACGTTTATGAACCTTCAGTTTATAGAAACTATCGTAAAGTGATTACAACATGCGTTAATGGAGATGTTCCTGATAAGCGTTCTGAGATTTATTCATCATAAACTGATATCAGTTGAAGAACCATTGTAAACCTGTGAGCGCTTGACAGCTGTTTCGTCGTAGTATGGGAATCCTCAACAATACACATCCAAAAACCCCTAGAGATCAAACTCAAGTCCTTCAGGTTTCATGGCGAATGCGTTAGCCATTCAGCCACTGAGTCAGAGTTCCATCGTGCACAGTTACCTACTTTTGTCAGTTCATGTCATAGCGTGACTATCCAACACAGTCTTCAATTGGCAATCCACTTCACTTCTGACTTGGTTAACCCCACCGGTCATGGCTTCTAGTTAGAACTTCGGGATATCCATCTGGAAACATGTCAGTTTACGGGGATTTTATTGATTCGAAGATAGTATTCATTACGGAATGAGATGAACTGTCAAGTGTAAAAGCCTTGTTAGAAAACTGTGTAGATGCTTGAATATGACGATGATAGCTAAGTTCTACTCATAACTTCATCCAGTAAATAATACTACACCACGAGGTATTATATAAAAGTATACTCTACCACACGCTGAGTGCTAGAATTACACAGAAATTAATTTTCACAAAAATCTTATGCTCTCTCCGCCATCCATCCACTAAAAAGAAAGTCATTTAATTCAGGAGTATTATGACTCAATTTTTTATTGATAAACCCAACTTAGCGTTTTCTTTTCCAATTTTCTGTTTCTATTCTCATTTTACGTAATGTTTTATAATTAACGCGTTCCATCTATTATTCCCTCCATCGATTATAATTACTCATACTCTTGTATAGTAATAATAATATTGATAATTTGGTTGGTTATGGCTAGCAGAAGAATCCAGGACGCACGTCTCGTCCTATTTAGACTCATCAGCTGGATGTGCCTGCACCCCAATCATGTTGTTCCCACTGAAACTCGAACCTCGTACCCATCGCTTCAAACGCCATTGGAGCCTTATATGCCAATAGAGGTCGAACAATTCGATCCAACAAAACAAACAACGGAGAATAACAAGTATGTCAATAAGCAGTAATAATAATATTGTTACACACTTTCAATGGCAAAAATAACTAGATTTACGGAGACCATCTATTTGACTTGGAGTGTGCAGACAATATTGTCCTGGTAGGCGGAGATGACAAACTTCAGGGTCTTTCGAACACATCGAGGATAAATCTGAGTGTTTGGCATGCATTTATCTGGCACCTGTAAAATGTAAGATGATACTCCGAGACTGGTCTGCTGCAAGTACTTTCAGTTTAATTTTTATGGAGTAAAGTCGTAGCGTATATGGACCACTTCACTCGAGGAATCGCATCGGCTGGCAGAACTGGCTGGTTACTGACGAAATCTCAACTCGGATACAGGAGGCCCGTTTTAGATTTGCCAGCCTTCGTCATCTGTGGCGCCGACTATCTATCAAATGACAAGTATACTGCACTGCAGTTCGTCTTGGTTTTCTGTACGGTTATGAGATATGGCCGTTGAAAGTAAAAGATATGAAGCGGTTACAGGTGCTTGATCATAGGTGTCTTTGTAGCACCGCTCGCACTGAGTCGGATCACCTTGTAAGTAATATTGAGAACAGGCGAAGAGTACTAGGCAGGATAGGCAAGTCGATTGATAAGGTTGTGAACCTTCATCGGCTGAAGTGGCTTGGATATGTAGGGAGCACGGCGAGTCACCTCCTACTTCGACGTGCCTGACTGGCGGAAGTTGGGTTAGGTTTGAAGAGGGTTCAGGGTGGTCGATGAAGTCTCTTACTGTCAGTATGAGTCGTGTGGAGGCAATGTAGACTGCCTGTTTACGGTCGCTGAGACGGAAGGAATCAGTGTTTTACGACTCTTGATGATATGGCTGGGAGCTGGTGATATTGACGCAGATTTATTCACTCTTTGAGATCTAAAACTTGAATATTTTCGCTAACCTTTCTCTTCAGATTGTTTATTCTCTCACACTACTTCTATCTACTTTGACATCAGTCTTTTTCTATCCACCTGTTCTTTGTATCCTACTGTGAAGTTTGGTAATTTGAGTCGGTGAACCTGTGTCCGAAATCCTACGTTTGTTCTGTCTGTCTCTCTGACGGTTAATTGTGAATCCTCAGATGCATTTTGTCACCTGATACGCGTATATTCCTTGGTTGCGAAATATCGTATTTCGAGTTAGGCAATGCTTGGTGAAACTTTCACAAAAAATATTGTAATATAATCAGATTTTCATCTTTGTTTCCAAGTTAAAATAATGGAATTTAAGCGAACTAACTGCATGTATTATTTTTCTGATCACTCTAAGTAATATTTTGGAGTGGAGTCTGTTTGTCTCTCACCTGTTGTTTTCCAGAATTTTATTACTTTTAATTTAATGCGTTGCTCACTACCCACTTTCAATTTTTAACTATTTTTAATATTACTGTATTCTTGCAACTGCTGTTTTTGTAATGATTATTTATCTTGCCTGCTGATCTTTCCTATTTCAGACAACTTGCATATAAATAAATAAATAAATAAGTAAATAAATAAATAAATAAATAAGTAATTCGTTCGACAATTAGTTTTATGTTGTTGTTCATCGTAGACTGACAACAGTTGGAGGAACAAAGGAAACCTGGGAGCACTGGACACCTGTTTCGTCCTAGTATGGACCATTGGATTCTGACCCTGTGTCTCAATGGTAACGTGCTGGCCACGGAACCTGACAGTCGTGGGTTCGATCCCTGGTAGGGTCGTGGGTGCGCACTGGTGAGGAGCTTCATACTGGGACGAAACAGTGCCCCAGTGCCCCAAGGTTCCCTTTGTTCCTCCAACTGATGTCAGTCTACGATGAATAACAACTTGAAATATTTCCAATTCCCCACAACTCCCTCAAAATTCAATTAGTTTTATCTTCACTTAAAAACGTTTCCGCCACCCCTCCTCTCTCCCATCTTACTCTTTATGTTTTTTCCGGATTTCCAGGAAATTTGTTGCTACCTCGTTACTACTCTCTGTATGAATCAAGTATGTTACTTTTCTTACAGCGAATATTAACTCATCAGAATCAAGGTTGAACATAATTTCTACCATAAGATGTAAACCTGTTTGACTAATTAAAGCGGTCGATTAAAATGGGGACTTTTTTTTATTGTTGTTAAATTGATTATGTGAGTTTGTTGGTTGGAAGTAATCCATAAGAAGCCGTGGTTGACCCAGGTTTCCTGCTTGTTGGTACTTGTCGGCAATGCGTAGCTGGAATATTGAAGGAACTGATGTCGCCTCAGAGATTTGAATCAGCGTCACTCAGTAGACTTCAGTCAGTGACGTTATCACTGGGCTATTCGGGCACCGATTGGCATCTTGTAGTATTGGATTAAATACATTGATTAATCATTAAAGAGTCATCAATTTTATCTTGTCTAGTCTTGAGTCCTGACCGAGTTCTATCAGTTATTTCGCGATGTGACCATCAAGCTAGGAGGTTGATCATCTGGGTGCATTTCGATGGATGTTGTTTGATTGACGGCTGCTAGCAGGACATCTGACCTCATAAATTTCACAACCTTGTTGCCAGTCCACTTTGTCTCATTAATACGACTGAGAGACATGGCCTTTGAAAGTAAAAGATATGAAAAGATAGCAGGCATTGCTCGCATATGATGGAATCACCGCATGAGCCTTGTCGAGGTCAGGTGAAGGGTACTTGACAAGGTAGACAAATCAGTCGATAACACTTAAACATGTTGCACCTGCCCGACTTATCGCCTACCTCGACACGTAATATTGACCAAAGTAGGAGTACGTTGGAGATGATCAGAGGAAGACGTTATATTGGACCATGAATTCTTTGACTATTGGGTCTACTGGTGATGTAGAAAGATGTAGGTTGTTTGGTTGCAGTCTTCGAGATGTGAGGAATCAAGGGAATTTCGTTGATATGACTGAAAATCGATTGAAGTCTTGACCATTTTTCATCCATTCATTCCCTCTTCTCTCACACAGTTTGTTAACTTTAGTATCATTCTTTTTCTGCTCACTTGTTTTTGCATGCTGCCGCCAAGTTTAACCACTTTAAGTGATTAGCTTTTATACAAGTATATATGTTGGTTTGTCTGTGCGCCTTATAAAACTGGCGTAACTCGACATAATTGCATCAGTTTTACTTCGTTGGTATTACTTTGTATGGTTTTTGTTTGTTCACGTTGGTCAGACTTAGAAGTGACATCAGTCAATGAAGCCCCTGTCTACTGGTCTGAGCCGTGTAGGGAGATGTAGGCTGCCTCGTTGGCGATCCTGAGACAACAGAACCTATTGAAGTGATTGGCTGCAGGTTTTGAACCAATTCTCTAAAACCTATTTCTACATAACAATTAGGAGCTGTGTCTCATTGGTTTAAGCACTTGACTTTCAACTGATTGCCACATGTTCGAAACCCTCTCCACTTGGTGAGGTTTAGAAAACCAAAGGTATCTAGTATCATAAACTATCACACAGTAGGTGTGATGCGTTACTTACCACAGATTAGTGCAGGCGGCTGCCGTGTAGACTTCGTTTATACCTGTAGGAAGATGTATAACCTTTGAAACCTTGTAGTACATCTGCATACGTATGAACATGTTACTACAAATGCACACACACACACACACACAACACGTATTTTTTCATGTACTTTTGTTGGTTCACTATATGTTTACTACTTAGATTTCCTTTTTTATGTTTACGCCTAAATTTTTTCCCTTATTACTCTGCATTTTTTTTCTTTCTTTTCAGTTCTTTGTGGTCTAAGAGTTAGTCAAATGACTAAAACATATGAAGACTTGGATGCAATTACACAACTACTAGAAGAGGTGAACACTTTCTTATTGTTGTTGTTCTGTTTTAAAACAAAGTTTTTTCTCTACATGTATCTGACAAAAAACAATTCTCACCTTGTTTGTATATTCCTAAGAGTTTATTTAAGAAACATTTATGTAAATTATTTCAATAACTTACAACTGGTAAAGTCATTGCCGATTGCAGGTAATTAGAGTCTGAGAATTTCAACTAGACGGTACTGGGTTCAGAACTCTACTCTACCAGGTAGTATCTCAAGCCCTTACACAATAAATGTGGTTTATAGCCTATTACAAACTGGAGGCATGGGAGCGGTTTATATTTCCCAGCTTTCTATATCGTGGAAGGCTAGTTCTCCTTGAGGTATCTGAAAAAGAACGGTTGGTGTATCAGCTTTAGAGCCCTGAAGGGGAACATCTTCTCGAAGCCGATCACCGACAACTTTTTTGAAATTTTGACATTTTGGCTTTTTTCTTTCGAATCTGATTATAAATCCCTGTCACAGCTATCGGCATGCCTCGGGGGAGGGAGGGGGGGGGTAGTTGGAGTGTTTTATCTTTGAGGCCGACCTTTTCTACCTTCCTAACTGCTAGTCATCCAAGTGAAACACTTTATTACTGTCATACTCCAGTCCAGTCAGCAGTACGATTTCGCCTCAAGTCCTCCATCATAGCATAGCGGTGTACGCTATGATGGTAACTGTTTTTGGTCTAACCACTATCCAACAAACCTTTCTGGTATGGTGAGATATCGAGGGAACAAGCGTTCCATCAACGTAGCTTGTTGTCATTGTGATATATGAGCCCGACTACCACATCATGGTAGCAGCTATCGGTTGAGACAGCCTAGTCTTTCACCATACACAAAATAAACGCTGTTTGGTACAGATGGTTTTTTTAATAACCTAGTAAAAAAGTTCTGTATCGAGTTACGCTACTTTGTATATCGTCTAAGACACTTATCTTCATCATTTTTTGTACTTGTACAGTGGTATGGCAGTCTAGTGAATTCACTGGCGTTGCGCTTAAAGTAATGTATGTAGAGTCCTTGCTTCATTGAGGACACTAGTTCTCATTACGTTCTAAATGCAAATAACGGATGAACGCGAAGTGAGCTGGAACACTTGTTCAGGATCTGAGTAACACTCATAACCACTAAGTATCCCTATATGGGGATTATTCTTATTTTTAAAGCGTTAACGTGACAGAAACCGTCTAACGTGGAGGTCAGGTGATATTGTCTTAAGGACAACGGTATCATCTTTATTTTGGACTTAACTTATTCACTATTGTTGTGAATGTTTGTGTTGATGAGTACTGAAAATGGTTTTTAAGAAACAAATGTGCGGATTATCTTTTAATGTACCAATTAGGCTTGGATAAGCTTCGTTCAAATGTGGTATTCATTGCGGAATGATATCAGTTGGAAAACTATTGGAAACCTGGGAGCACTGGACAGCTGTTTCATCCTCGTATGAGACTCCTCAACAGTGCGCACCTATGATTCCACCAGGGGTCAGACCCAGTACTTGGGTTCCGCGACTAACATGTTCCCGTTGAGCCATTGGGTCGGCATCTAATGGTTCACATCTCCTACTTTTGTCATTTCATGATGTAGCGCGACTTCCATCCAAAACGAATATCAACCTGAAATCAATAAATAAGTCCCCACAAACTTCCAAAGTATATTACTTTAGTACTCAAGATTCCCTAAGTTTTAAAGAGAAGTTATATAACCACTGGGGTTAACCAAGTCGGACGTAAAGACGGTTGGTCAATGATAGGGTTGGGTGGAGGTCACGCTGCATCGTAAAGTGACAGAAGTAGGGAATATGGACCAGTGTACACTGATTCATTGGGTTAACGCTAACGTACTGACCGCGGAACCTGTAGGTCCTGGGTGCGATCCCTTCACCTTAAAGTTTTCTACGACTTTCGATTAATTTCTTCCTTATTTCTATGTCCTTCATCTTAGCTCATACCATCTTTATGTCCTCTTGTGAAATGTGGCTAAATGTATTGCAACACAGTAAGGCTGGATGTCATGTCCATATTGACCGACTGATATCACAGAAATAAGTTCTATGTTATTTAACCAAATATGCGATAAGGTGTAAATAGTTGGTAATTAAGAACGTATCTGAAGTTTTCGAAGACTGAAGTACTTACGCCCAAGCTTTCAAGTTACAGAGGTCGGAGATAATGACAATAAACTGACGGGGTTAGTTTTTTACACGTAAACTAACTAACTATTCCGTATTTCTCTTTCTCACTTCTATGTATTCCTTCAACAACATACTTTCTGTATGTACATGTATGTTTAGAAACAAACAGATCTTGAACTGGCTGCCAAAATTGGCAAAAATCTGTTGGAACGAAATCGTGACCTCCAGTCTAGACTGGTTGAAACAGAGAAAAATTTATGCGCACGCGATGAAGTAGTAAGTTATCTATTCATTGGAATCATTTGTGTTATATTCTCTGTTTTCGATTTTATTGGGTTGATCAAAGAAAAATAACTTTTTATGAATGATGGCTAGTGGCTAGTAGTGGAATCTAGGACGCACATTTCGTTCCATTTGGGACTCGTCAGCGGGGTATGGTTGCTTACCAGTTAGCGATAATATCCCCACTAGGACTCGAACCCGAGACCGATCGCTCCACTTGACCACCAAGTCACGATAGCCACTTCTTGTGCAAGGAGTACAGTTTTTATATTGTTACTTGTATCAATCTGGTCCTTGATCATACCGAATCAGCCTATCTTTATTGGCATTATAGGCTTCTGTTCGGATGCCTCGATATTGTCTGTCGTTCCAATTTTATGATGATGGTGGATGGTGACACTAGCTGTGGAATCCAAGACATCTGTGTTAAGTACATCCAACCTAAGAGTCTCTAACATGACGAAACACGCTTCCTGGATTCCACTGCCTGCCACCATCCATCATTAATCTAAAGTTGAAACATAGGCAGTATCAAGTCACCTGCACAGCAGCCCGTATACCAATAGAGATCAGTCGATTCGGCCCAATCATGTGTCCCACGTTCCATTTCGTTTAGTATGGAGTAGAGTTTTGTTGCGTGTCGGTGGTGTATTCCTCTCTGTCTCCCCCCCCCCTCTATCATCGTTACGCCCTCTGTTTCACAAGAGCGAAATCTAATTTCTTGGACATTGATTTTTAGAAACTAATCAATGAAAGAAACAGATTATCATAACTTTTCGTGTTTGTATGTGTCGCTGTGTTACCAAACTTTTTAGTATTGTCCTTAATTTCGATAAGTTTATTTCTAAGCGAAATTATCAATTATCAATGCCGTCTATTGTTTTTTAAAGTGATATTTAAGTAAAAGAGCTTGGTAAGAGAATGATAAGAATCACATCACCTCGTATTTTTAAAGCGGTTTTTTTCGTACTATCCTCGTAGTTATTCATTCGTCTAAGAAGCGTATGAAAAAGTCGAATGTCGAAGAAAAACACCCAGGAACCATGTGCACGTTTGCTCAGTAGTTGATTAGGCTCACCTGTTGTTTGAAGAGGGCTTAAGATAGAACCTAGCTAAGTAAACCTTTTTGTGAAGCTGTGATCCACTGGTTTAGGGAGATGATTTTCAACCAATGGGCCACGAGTTCAAAAACCGCTTCACCATCTGAGATTTTGGCAGCCAAGCCCCACATATTGGATGTGGCCTACTACACAAATGTGTAGACAAAAGGTTGCTGAGTAAATTTCAATTCAGTTTTTTAATGCAAACCTTTATAGGTGAGTCTAGGTTCAAACTTGTAAATCAGTTAGAGTGAATATCGAATGTCTGCTCCAATTGTTGTTCTTGTTTTCTTCAACTTCATAGAGAGGAATTCATGTATAATAAAATACCTAGACCAAAGAACTACAAGTTTAAGTGTAACTTTGTATGTTCTTTCGTCTTATATATGTCAGTTTCATCATCACCATCATCAATATCAACATCGGACCTGGCCAGGGATTACTGCGTAATGCTCCAAGTTGCCACATCACATATCAGGACATAAAGTAACAAGGCAATTAAATGGGAAAAGAAGAAGTAGGCAATATGATGGAAGATGAAGGAGGAAATAAAAATCGGTGAAGGGAAGTAAAAGTAGTAAATGAGAGGAAGGAATAAGGAAATGATGAGACTAAGTAAATCAGCTAAGATAAAGATAATGTGTGTGCATACATTTGCACCACTCACATTGGTTCTCAGCCATGTCATCACCTAGTCAGTCTCCAACCACTGATTCCTCTTTTCCCACAGACCCCAAATGGCCAGTATGCATCGCCCCATATGGCTCAAACGACTTCATGCATTGATGCTATGGTTTTATTCTGGCTGAGAACCAAGAGCCTTTTTCAGCCTGAACGAACCTCCGCTAACATTGCACGACGAGGCAGATGGTGGCTGGGCATGCAAAACACACCCCGAAGCTATCTCAATCAAAGGAAAGGTTCATAACTGTATCAACTGAATTACCTCTCCTTCCTTAAACTCTATACCTGACTTCTACGTTACTCACATGGCGATACCACAAAACATAGCCTATACTACGAAGGCAGTGGTGGTCAAACACCTGAAGCCTTCTCATATCTTCTACCTTCAATGGGCATGCTTCACAGCCGTAGAGTAGAACAGACCGGACTGCTGTGCAGTACACGTGAATCTTAATAGACAATCGGACATCACGGCGGCGCCACAGGTGGTGTAAGTTGGTTAAAGCCAATTGAGCTTTTTGTATTCATGCGGAGATTTTGTCGACCACTGACCAATGCGCCGGGGCTGATCCCACTTCTCAGGTAAGTGAAGTGGTCAACACACTCAACCACTACAGTCTCTATTGTTAGCCGTGGTGGGGTACTGTTGAAGACCGGTGGTGGAGGAACAATTTGCATTTGGGTGATGAGAACTGCATCCCAACTATTCTCAAATTGCCACTGGAGGTGTCCAGCAGACTCTGCATGTTGTCAGCGTCCTCACCTAATAGGACTATATCATGTGAGTATTCTAGGTCTACCGAAAATTCTTTTGTGATTAGGTTGACCTCTGTGTAATCAGGTGACGAGAGGGAGACCTCCATAAGAAATATCTATGATAAAACTGAATAGTAATGGAGAGAGTGGACAGCCTTGAATGACACCACTCGACGAGTGCATTTCACCATAGACTGTAAGATGTCCACAAGTTTTCGAGTAGAAAGCCTTCACTAAGGTGATGTACTTACTTGGCACGCCTTTTAGTGACAGACATTGCCATCAACAGAGTGGAATTATTATATTGATCCGGTTGGGTTCAGTACTGATTGACTCACTGAAGTAAAGCTGAGAATAGATGAGTTTTTTAATTTGTTAGGTGGAATACTTGGTCAGTAACCGGTTCATAGGTCATTGATTTAAAATCCTGTGCTTTCGATTGAACATAATCATCATTCATGAAATAAGCATTTGCTCTACTTCGTCCTAGTGGTTATTGACTTTTGTAATATTTTAGTTACGTTTATATATACCCGTACTTTAATCGTGGTTGTTTTTTTTTTGTATTTCAGATCAGTCAACTCAATCATAATCTTACTGTTAAAGACAATTTGTTACGTATATTCTTAAGAGATTCTGATCAACTGGCTGATACTAATGACGATCAGACGAGCATATCATCCAGTGGACGTGTATCGCCTGTTCGCAGCCAGTGTCTATCGTAAGTTTTGGTGATAAATACGAATGTGGTTCTTTTTCTCTCCTTTCTCGCCATGTTGAGTTTCGCTATCATTTGACTATAGCACACAGCTATACTATATTACTAACTGGATGACGTTTCAAGCACAATCTTTTACTCATAATCATAGGAGAAAGTAATCATACCAACTTTTGACGTCGGATGTTTTTAGTGGCAGTAGCATTTTCCACATCTCCGGTGTATAAATGTTGTATCATTTCTATTACATGCATTGGGTACTGATTCGGTGAAAAAAGAGTCGACAATCGTTATCTCTCCCTACCTAGCTATATTCTCTTTCAATAGAGTTATTTTATCCCATCTTGTTGTATGGTTAATGTGCCAGTGCATGGATTGTAGTAGATGATCCAGATTATGGATTCTATTAGAGTTCACCATTCTACGTTTGACCAAGTCCTTCTACTGTAAAAAATAACCAACCTCGGTCATCTAGTCTGACTAATGTAATTGACCTCAAAGTCATTGCGGTATATTTAGTAGATCAAGTGTCGATATGATACTCAAGCCGATACAACTTAGGTTAGAATCCCACTTTAATTTTCAGCTCTGTTTCGACTTATACGTAAAATTTCCGTTATCATTTTGTCCTTCCTTTAAATACTATTGAAAACTAACCATACTACGTGGTAGGACTATGAAAACTAGCGGTTAAAATGCTGTGATTCTGAGAAATAGTTTATCATCGAAACGTCATCCAACAAATGATATTGTCTCACCGAATATGCTATATTAATCATGTAGATCTGTGGAACCATATTCCCCTTTCAGTGGTATGAATGTGTGACTTCTTTTCACATTGGAAAAGATGGAGGCTTATTTCAGTTATTAAGAAGATATACTATACTTCAAAGTAAACTTTATCACGACAAAGATGATTATGTCACATCCCACTGTTGTACACCGATTCATATGTTTATGCGATGACACAAATTGGGTGAAGTAAGCAAACAATGAAGTCGTGATCAGTCTGAACATTTGCTTAAATGGCTAGAAAGACAATTGCATTCAAATAATTCGATTAATACAGTGTACGGCAGGTGTCATCTCATCATCATCATCATCATTATCAACATAGGACCAGGCATTACTGCGTAACGGTCCGAGTTGCCACACCTCATATCAGCACATCAAGTAAAAAGGTAGTGAGGTGAAGGATGAAGATAAGTGAATGCAGTCAAAAGAAATATAAAGTACGAAAAGAAAGGAAAGAGGAGTGACAAAATAGTGAGATTCGGTATAGCGTTGTTAAGATGAGGATAATGTGTGTATACATCTGCGCCACTGACTTCGGTTCTGAGCCATATCACCTAGGGTCTCCAACCACTGGTTCCTCTTGTCCCGTGGACCCCAACCACCTAGTCTGCATCTTCCTACATGGCTTAAACCAACAGTCAGAGACTTCATACATTGGTGCCATGTTTTAGACTGGCCACCTCGGGCCTTTTTCCAGCCTGAACCCACCTCAGCCAACATTGTGTGACGAGGCAATCGGTGACTAGGCATACGTAGTACGTGTCCCAACCATCTCAGTCGATGAAGGTTCACAACCTCGTCGACTGACTTACCTCTTCTCCCTAAAACTCTACACCTAACTTCTGCATTACTCACATGGTGACACCACGGAATACGTCCTATACTACGAAGGCAACGGTGGTCAAATACCTGTAACCTTCTCATGTCTTCCACTTTCAATGGCCATGTTTCACAGCCATACAGTAGAACAGAGCGGACTGCTGTGCAGTACACGCGACCCTTAATAGGTGTCATCTTCTACAGGTAAACACATTACAGAAATAGGCGACTGGATTCACCTTAAAACAGCCTTTAGATCATTATATGAGAGACGTCAGACCTTAGCTATAGAAAAGTTGAAACCTCCTTCATGTATTCAAAAACAGTTTTTCCTTACCTTAAGCCTCCCTCAGTAATCTTTATCGCGTTTTAATGCTAAGAAAGGTGTGAAAATGTATTATTCCTCCCTATTATCTTTATGTTTTCAAAATCTTGTATTATCTTAATTAATATATCTTATCCTTCTCTATTTTTAACCCTTGCCAAGTAAATGTGTGCCCAGATCATTCGAAATGTATTACACCAATACATCACATTTCTCAGATAACCTGCGTCTTCTTATTACATTATACAAGAGTAAAACCGTGACGATGAACAGAACACTTCGAGGAACAGTTTAACTGGCTTCCATCCACCATTGCGTTGTCCGCTATCCAGTCGGATCCTGAATGGATGAGTGAATGGCCAGACTAAAACATAGCATGAATGCATGAAGTTGTTGACTGTTGGTTTGAGCCATGTAGAGCGATGCAGACTAGACAGTTAGGATCCGTGAGACAAGCAAAACCAGTGATTGGAGACTGACTCTATGTGATGACATGGCTGAGAACCGATATGAGTGACACAAATGTATGTACACATTATCCTCACCTTTAACGCTATACCGAATCTCACCATTTTCTCATTCTTCCTTTCTCTCTTTTCGTACTTTATATTTCTTTTGACTGAATTTTTTCTTTATTTCCCACTTCACTGCCTTTCTTACTTGATGTACTGATATAAGATGAGCTGTGGCAACTCGAAGGGTTACGCAGTAATGCCTGGTCCTATGTTGATATTGATGATGATTAAATTATACAAATTCATCAAAGGGTCTAATTGCTTCCGGATAACAGCCATGATCATGAATGCTTGCGTAGTTTCGACTCCATCTGTAATTCGTTAACCTGAGAGCTTGATTTTCAAGCGATGCGTTCTAGATTCAAATCCCGCTTGACTTCGTCTCAGACAACCCAGTTGTCATATGTAATGCCTTATGCCAATGAGTGTGGCTGACAATGTAGTACACGGACGTTTACGTGGTAGATAATTCATCCTAAACGTCGTATTGCGTTTCGTTATTATCCTTTCACCTTATCTTTTTTTCGATGATATTCTACGGCTTTGGATCGTATTTAATCTTCCGATTTCTCTATTCTTCATATTTCTGTCTTGTATCATGATGTGCTGACATGAGATGTACCAACTTAGGCTGAGATGGCAGTAATCCCATGTCCTCTGTTGACTAATTGACTTGTCAGTTACTTTAATCGTTACTAAGAGTTTGATGTTATCTTTATATAATTTGATTGATGCGTTCATTGATAAACCTGAAGGTCATGAGTTCGATTTCTGGGGGGAGGTCGTGGGTACGTATTACTGAGGGCTCCCATACTAAAACGAAATAGCTGTCCTGGACTTTCAGGTTCTCAATGCTTTTCCAACTGATGTCAATGTATGATGGAACACCTTAGAAATATATGATATTATCTACTGATAGGAGCAGACAGAACTGATGACATTCTCATTATTCTCTCTCTCTTTCCTTTTTCTTTCCTGCTTGTTGATAACCTGTAATGTAATTTTGAGGGAGTTGTGGGGATTTGGAAATATTTCAAGTTGTTATTCATCGTAGACTGGCATCAGTTGGAGGAACAAAGGAAACCTTGGAGCACTAGACAGCTGTTTCGTCCTAGGATGGGACTCCCCACCAGTGCGCACCTACGACTGTCAGGTTCCGTGGCCAACACGTTACCATTGAGCCACAGGGTCAAAATCTAATGGTCCATATTTCTAACTTCTGTTAGCTCACGATATAGCGCAACCGCCACGCAATGTCATCGTTGAGTAACTGCTCTCAAGACCATCAGGCTTTACCCCCACCGGTCACGACTTCTCATTGGAACTTTGGATAGGTGCGCACTGGTGAAGTGTCTCATACTAGGACGAAACAGCTGTCCAGTGTTCCCAGGTTTCCTTTGTTCCTCCAACTGATGTCAGTCTACGATGAATAACAACTTGAAACCTCCACTTTTATTTGAGAAAAAAATTGGGTATTTATATTCTCAGTAATCTGCAGAATAAAATGGCTGGTAATAATACAACAACATATCAATTTAATGTTTTCTTCTTAGTGTAGTAGACGTTTCCTCCATCAGATAAAGAGAGTTGGAAAAATGATTTGGGTATTTTTAGATATAAAGTGAATTGATGTCAACACTGAAAGTGATGTGTACACAAGAATTAATGATAGGATAAAAATAAGGAAATACTTTGAAGTTATTCAATTTAAAAATTCTGTTATAAACTTATCAGTGACATATATCTACATCATTTTCAGTTGGTTTTAGGTGGTTTGGTAACAAGACTATTCCGCTTTTACATGTGACACACTGTTCTGTTTTACTGTAGCTATTTGTATACATAATAAAACTAATTTATGATGTAAAGTTATATTAGTTGGTTGGTCAATCTTTTCTCCTCTGTCACTGTACAGAAAGTATTGGAAGATAGAATTGAAACGCAACTGATTATTATTACTTATTATTGATTTTTCCCTTGGGTTCTTAGTGGAACATAAGACTTCAGTAGCACGTCGCCGTTCCACTCTCTTCTCTTCAACCTTTTCAACCTGGCTCCACAACCGCCCATAAGCTTTCATTTCTTCTTCACATCATCTCCTTCATGTCACCCTCAGCTGGGACACCCAACTCGTCGCTTCCCATCTGGGTTCCACTCGAGGACCTGGCCTGTCGCGTGATGTTCCCAAATGGTCTTCTCAATATATTTTCAATCTAATCCAGTTAATTTCCACTTTCTTCTGCATATTTGTTGAGCGATAGGTTGTTGGTCGGTTGGTTCGTAGCCAGCCACAGTGACATCCTCGTTGCTTATTCTTATTCTTCTGGCCATCTATTTTATATTCAGTGTCAGTCAGTGTCAGTGTCGAGTGAGTGTAGGCGGCAGCAGCAGCAGCTGTTGATGATGTATGTGTGTAGTTGTTTGTTGGAAATGCGTTTCATAATGGACCACCAAGTCTGTGAACCATCAGATAGAAGCACTGACTTGACTGATATTAGTGTTTAAAATGTGGATGTTGTTCATGGTTTATGCTGAGTGGAGTGGAGTGG